ATTAGATCCTCGCCAATGATTCTCTATAATATTTATGCCTGTAAATCTTAAGGAGGATGGGTCTCTACCATGGTGATACCTGTATTCTCCTATGATACCTGAATGAATGATTTTTGCTTAATCAGTATAGTATTCATCAAAAAAAAATTGAGTGACCAAGACTGAGCATGCTCCAAAATGAAAGAATACATTACAATACATTAAATCACTTCTGAAGTTGCATTCTGTCATATGAGAATTTTTGTAACTTTAATAACCTCTTTATTTTCGATATGAGACTAGCATGCAAAAAGTAAAACGGATGATTATTTGTCCAATATTCATAAGGCATTAATTGCTCCTGACCAGGAAAATAATCCTAATATACCTTTTTAAAAAATTATCATTTACCAGAATGCAGACCCAAATTACATTAAAGTGGAACTTTACTCAAATAATTAGGTCCTGCTAGATTACTTCATGCTGGCCCCTTTTGCAGGTATAGCTATGTAAACCATTACAAATAAGTGCCTATACTGTTTACAATCTAGTATTACTGTACAGTCTTCCTCTGCTCTGTACATGCTCAGTTGCTCTTTTTTTGGCACTGCTGAAAATGTAGAGGCCAATCTGCTAAAAGCCTAAATATTTACTGTTGCTCAGGAGATCTGATCATTTCAGCAAATGGTGGCCTCCAGCAAGAAGGAACAGGAACAATACTGAAAGCAATTTACAGCACACACTGATTTTGGTAGCATAATTGTTTGTGTAGTTATTGTGGAAAGTATGTTCCTTGGTAAAGAACATTATTTTTATCAAGCTGTTATGGGTAAAGTTCCACTTTAAGATGGAGTTACAATGGACTGAATTAGAAAGCTGTTATTTCATGTGAGCTCAATAAGCATAATAGTATTTTCAAAAATAGTCCTTGGCTGTATATCAGTCTTTAGCTTGCTTATATTTGCGTTATGATGCTTAATATTTTCTAATTGTATTATGTAATCTAATTTTAAAATCTAAAATATTTGAACATATTTTAACCTCCTTGGCGGTATTCCCGAGTGTAGCTCGGGGTAACATTTCAGTACCAAAAGCGGTAACCCCGAGCTACACTCGGGAATACCATGCGGCGCTGCTCCGGCATGTGTTCTTCACTTACCTTACCCTGCGCTCCCACGATGTGTCCCCTGCAGCGTCCCCGGCCATCTCCTCCGGCCGATGCCGGCATCCGGCTTCTGTGTCCTGTCCCTGTGACGTTGGGACATACGGGCGCCGCCGCCGGGAAATTTAAAAATTTTAAAAAATGTCTTTTTTTTTTTTTTTTCATTTTACACAGTAAAACATTGCTGTTTCAACCTATTTTATATACATATTGTCCCTAGTGCTTTGTCCTGCGCCCTGCCTGCATTTTGTCTGTTCTTTCTGCCTGGAAACTGAGAAATGTCCATGGCGTCCAAAAAGTGTCCCTTTAGGTCAAAAGCGGTTTAGATCAGCTAGAGAACAGCGATAGTAAATCAGAACCACTTACAGAATTGAGTGATAATGATTCGTGGGGGAAATTCGTCATCAGAAACTGAAAACGATTTTGCGACTGAGCTCAGCAATGTGCGAACTTGGCGCTCTATTTCACATTTCAGTGTTTTTGGTTTGATTATATTATTGAATTAAATTTTTTATTATTTTTATATTATTTTTATGATTATTTATTAAATTATAATTTATGATTTTGTGTTTCAAATTTTATCATACCCGGGATGTTTACTAGACTCTTGTTCGGACAGATTTCAGTGAGTTTTTCCTAAAAATTACAGCCTACAATAAAAAAAATACATATTTCCATGCAAAAAAATGGTACCGCTTTCAGCACCAAAAATCTGAAATAATCATACCGCCAGGGAGGTTAATGCATTTAGGTTCTCCTAAATGTCTCCAATGTTTCTCCTATTAAAGAAAAGATTCTGGTTTTCCATTGTGAAGTCTTAATCAAGCTGGATAGCTCAAAAAAAACCATTGATTTGCCTGCATAGTGCATGCAGCTGATATTTAAGGGTATTATTGTGCGGTAAGGCTCATTTTCAAGCACTGTGCATGTTTTTTAGGATACTCCCCTTCATTTATTATGTGCTCCCAACAAACATCAATGCAGTATACAACTTATCTTTTAATGCACTGCAATGCATACCTGTGAATGCACATGTGCTCTGTTGCTGTGCATTGGGAGTCATTTTTGGTGCCTGGACCCGTGTTAAGCACCCAGAAAAATGAGTGGGAACAAATAGTGAAACATGTCAACACACAAAGCAATGCACACACTTGGTTGTAAATTAGCCTTCCGTGCTTAAATGAGGGGCTTACATTGATGTACAGTTTTAGTACTTGTTTTACTTTGTGACATAGTTTTGCACTAAATACATAGGGGTGGATTTACTAAAGTCAAATAGACTGTTCACTTTGAAAGTGCAGGTGCTCCAGAGCTTAGTAAATGAGGGGAAGCTCTACTGACTTCCATTACCCAATCTTGTGCAAGAAAAATGCAGTTTTTTTTAAATTTTCCTTGCATGTGATTGTGTATTCTTCGCAAAGTGAAGTTTCATCTCATTTACTAAGCTGCACTTAAAAAGTGCGCAGTATATTTGCCTTGAGTAAATCCCTCCTATAATTTACCAGGTACATTCTTGATTTGTTCTTTGCTGCAGCTGTACTAGCTATATAGCCAGTCTTTGACACTCCATTTGAAAATGACATTTTAAGAAACCTTCAATTGAAAAATGTTAAATGAACAAACAACATTTTACAGAGATTAAAGTGGTTCTTAAGTCTAAACATTTTTTTACCTAAATGCATTCTCTGCATTAGGCAGCGTTCACACTGAGGAGTTTTTGAAACGATTTTCCGTAAAAAAAAGCACAAGAAAAGCTGAAGAAAAATGCTTCCCTTTGTATGTCTATAAATGTCTTCACACTGGTCCACGGGTTTTTGCTATGGATCAGTGTGAAAGTGCCCTTAAAGTGTTACTAAACCCAGGACCAGGGGCGGACTGACCATTTGCACTGCTCGAGGGCCCGGGGTCAGTAGGGGGCCCCATGAGATGCCCCTGGTACCTTTTTCATAGGCTTTTTTGAGTTTGGGAAGGACACAGGGGCCCCATGATCCCCTATTGCCGGGGGCCCCATGAGTTGTCAGTCCGCCCCTGCCCAGGACCCTGCATTCACTATATCTGGTCTCCCAAAGTACATAGAACATGGAAGTGCAATTATTTTAGTAAATATAAACTGCTAAATAACTTTTCTCATTAGCAGTTAGTGCAGTCTCGTAACTTCTATTAGTGTCTAGCCGAGCACTGGTTAAAGCAAGAGTTTTGCATTCTGCTCTAGGAAGATGCAGGACCCCTGACTCTGTCTGGACAGTGGTAATTGGCCCTGTGCTGGTCACATGCACCTTCCCAAGAAAAAAAAAAAAAAAAACCTCTTTAGCAATACACACCAAACTGAGCATCTGCAGAGAGAGTCTACCCCAACCCCATACGTCGTATCAAAGGGGGACACTGGAAGAAGGGGAGGATCTGAGAAGTCAGGATCAAACAGTGTTTTTACACAATGCAGAGGGTTAATCCCTTAGGTTCCACAGTGAGTATAACAAGCATGCATTACTGCATATACAGACTGATTTTACTGTTGTGGGTTTAGTAACACTTTAAGGTAAAAAATGTTTTTATCTGATCGACTGAGTGCCTGCTCTCACAGGACACTCAGCCGTAGGCTCCTGCTCCTGTCATCTAAATCCTGTGAGGAGGGAGCAGGGTGGTATGGCCGAGCCATGTTGTGTGTGTCTATGGATGCACACAGCCCTTCTTGGGAGCATGCCCATGCAGGTGCCCTCATAGCACCTAGCCTACTATGGGTGCACCCGCAGGACATTGCTAGAAGGAGACTACTAAAGAAGAGGTAAGGGGCTGCTCTGTATAATATCATTGCACAGAGAAGGTAAGTATAAACTTCTTTTTATTTTAATAAAAAAAAAAATATATACAGTATATAAGTTTAAGTAAAACGTTAAATGATCATTAACTGATGCAGCCATTTTATCCAGAAAAAGCAATATGGGTTATGTGTGTGCAAAAAAAAGCAAAAAAAAAAAAGGAAAATCAGCATATAATTTTGAAAGTAACAGGAAAGAAGGCACATGGGCGAATTCACTACACATCAGAACACACGCTTCCCTGACTGATGGTATTTGGAGTCACTAATAATTAGCTGTGATGGATTTTTTGGTGGATTTCTTTTGGGAACCCCAAGACAAGACTGGTACTGAGGGTTGCTCTTCTGCATACACATCACATGTTTGGACTTTACAAACATACAAGTTAATTAAACTACTGTTTGTAAAAAGACTAAGGCACTAGGATTACAGATATTTGTAGAAAGCTTTTTTCACATTTTAATTTTACCAAATTCATCTAAAAATATCACAATACCATGGATTACATCACAATATTGTATCACATGATAAAAAAAACTGTCCAGAATTTACTACAAGTTTATAATGTGTCTCCATTCATCTGACACGTTTCAGAGATTTATCACTCTTTCCTCAGGGGTTTAACCGCCTCCCGCCCACTATATAAGGTAATGACGGGCGCAAGCTGGTTCTCTAGTTCTGGGAGGATGTCTTATGACGTCCTCCCATTCTAACCGCGCATGCGCGGCTCCGAGAGCGCACAGCGCGGCGATCGGTGTTGCGCTGTGTCCCTTGGACACAGCAGATCACCGATCAATGGTAGGGGCTGAAGATTTCGGCTCGGTCATGTGATCAGCTGTGTCCAATCACAGCTGATTGCATGTAAATAGGGAAAAGCCGGTTATCGGCATTTCTCTCTTCACGAGCTGTCACGCTGACAGCTCATGAGGAGAGGAGAGCTGGTAATCAGCATTCCATAGAGAGGACATGTATACTGATCATCAGAGCACTGATGATCAGTGTGCCCTGATGATCAGTGTAGCCCCAGCAGTGCCACCTGCCAGTGCCCATCAATGCCAGCTGTCAGTGCTCATCAATGCAACCTGCCAGTGCCCATCAGTGCCTCATCAATGAAACATATCAGTGCCTACCAGTGCACATCAATGCCACATATCACTGCCCATCTGAACTGCCTTTCAGTGTCACCTATTAGTGCCAGTCAGTGCCACCTATCAATGCCAGTCAGTGCCACCTATCAGTGCCGCCAATCAATGCCACCTATCAGTGCCAGTCAGTCCCACCTATCAGTGCGCATTAGTGCCCGTCAGTGCCACCTATCAGTGCCCGTCAGTGCCACCTATCAGTGCCATACATGAGTGCTGCCTTTCAGTGCCCATCAGTGATGCCTATCAATGCCCATCTGTGCCACCTACCAGTGCTTCCTCATCAGTGCCCATCAGTGCCACCTATCAGTGCCCATCACTGCAGCCCATCAGTGCCCATCACTGCAAACTCATTAGCGCACATCAGTGAAAGGAGAAAAATCACTTATTTACAAACTTTTATAACAAAAACAGGAAAAAAAATTTTTTTTTTTTTCAAAATTTTTAGTTGTTTTTGGTTTGTTTAGCAAAACATAAAAAACACAGAGGTGATTAAATACAACCAAAAGAAATCTCTGTCTCAAAAAAATGCTAAAAATTTCATATGGTTACAGTGTTGCATAACTGCACAATTGTCATTCAAAGTGCGACAGCACTGAAATCTGAAAACTGGCCTGGGCAGGAAGGGGGTATAAGTGCCCGGTAGGCAAGTAGTTAAAGGATATCACATCTTTAGGGTATAATGAGCAGTTAGGTACACAGCACAAATAATATACATCTAAACTTTTCATCCATTACTTACAACTGAATAGACAGTAAATGTGGACAAAAGCCGTGTAACTTAAAAACGTGTGAACACTGCCATCCCACCCATCAACCTCAGACGCCATGACTTCTCCACTTTCTCCCAGATGGAAAAAATGGAGTGCACAAGCGACCACTGAGGCCCACAAGTGCCAGTTCTGTAAAGAGATATGAGTTATAGCCTTCACTTATTTCAAAAGATAATCAAGATGTCAGAAATGAGAAATATCAAAAATTTTGATCTTTAAAATCTTACCCGCACTGAACCTTTTTGCAGGGCACAAATATTTACAATATTTGCAAGAACCATATATAAAGTACCTTTATGTTTGCAGGGGTCTTCTCGCGACTCTCCCCTGTATTCACTTTTGGACTATGCGGTCCCTATTACATAATATTGTAATTATATGTGCACTGACAAAAAGGTTCAATTACTAAATGGTTTACTTTTTCATCCAAAACATTATGTCAATTGAAGAACCTTCTGTGTCATATACAGTATCTTTTGCTATGTAATTGTGGTTGTTACTACATTGACAAGACAAAGTTAGAATTTTGAAAACATGCATACCGACACATTAGAAGCATGCAGACTTGCAATCCCGACCTCCCTCTCAAGCAACATGTCATGGCTGTGCATGATGGAAAATTTCCTAAAGTAAAATTTTTAATTCTAGATAGAATTCACCCTAGGGGAGGGGCTTGGAATAAAAGCCTCTTGCAAATGGAATTTACAGTGAAGGAAATAAGTATTTGATCCCCTGCTGATTTTGAATGTTTGCCCACTCACAAAGAAATGATCAGTCTAAAAATCGAATGGTAGGTGTATTGTAACACTGAGAGACAGAATAGCAACAAAAAATTCAAAAGAAATGCATGTCTACCAAATTATGCACTGATTTGCATGTTCATAAGGGAAATAAGTATTTGATCCCCTTCAAAAAACATGACTTAGTACTTGGTGGCAAATCCCTTGTTTTCAATCACAGAGGTCAGACGTTTCCTGGAGTTGGCCCCCAGGTTTGCATACATCTCAGGAGGGATTTTGGCCTACTCCTCTTGGCAGATCCTCTCCAAGTCATTAAGGTTTGGTGGCTGACGTTTGGCAACTCGAACTTTCAGCTCCCTTCAGAGATTTTCAATCGGATTAAGATCTGGAGACTGGCTAGGCCACTCCAGGACCTTAATGTTTGTTCTTCTTGAGCCACTCCTTTGTTGCCGTGGCCGTGTGTTTTAGGTCATTGTCATGCAGGAACACCCATCCACGACCCATTTTCAATGCCTTGGCTGAGGGAAGAAGGTTCTCACCGAAGATTTGACAGTACATTGCCCCACCCACCGTCCCTTTGATGCGGTGCAGTAGTCCTGTCCCCTTAACAGAAAAACATCCCCAAAGCAGAATGTTTCCACCACCATGTTTGACAGTTGGGATGGTGTTCTTGAGGTCATACACAGCATTCCTCCTCCTCCAAACACAGCGAGTTGAGTTGATGCCAAAGAGCTCCATTTTGGTCTCATCTGACCACAACACTTTCAACCAGTCCTCCTCTGCATCATTCAGATGTTCAGTGGCAAACTTCAGAAGAGCCTGGATATGTGCTATCTTGAGCAGAGGGACCTTGCGGGCACTGCAGGATTTCAATCCTTGTCTGCATAGTGTGTTACCAATTGTTTTCTTGGTGACTGTGGTCCCAGCTGCCTGGAGATCATTGATAAGATCCTCACGTGTAGTTCTGGGATGATTCCTCACTGATATCATGATCATTGACACTCCACGAGGTGAGATCTTGCATGGTGCACCAGACCTAGTAAGACTGACAGTTGTTTTGTGTTTCTTCCATTTGCGAATTATTGCACCAACTGTTGTCACCTTCTCACCAAGCTGCTTGGTGATAGTTTGGTAGCCCAGTCCAGCCTTGAGTAGGTCTACAATCTTGTCCCTGACATCCTTGGACAAATTTTTGTTGCTGTTCTGTCTCTCAGTGTTACAACACACCTACCATTCGATTTTTAGACTAATTGTTTCTTTGTGAGTGGGCAAACATTCAAAATCAGCAGGGGATTAAATACTTATTTCCTTCACTGTAAATGGATTTATAAACTGAAATATAATTTATATAGCTTATTTCCATCTCCAATTATCAACTTGTTTCCATTTTCGCAATAACTCATTTCCATCTGTGTTTTGCCAACGTGGTTAACTCCATATTGCAGTGTATTCCTTTGTATGAATTGTGTTTCAAAATATATGCCGTATGTGTTTATTGTCATGGCCATTTTCAAATTAATTTGTTTTGAAACCGACCAGCCATAAGGTAAAGCAAAAGAAAGTCCTGTCTCATATAGTGAATATAACCCTGTTGCTCACCAGATTAGCAGAGAATGTCAGCATTCTAGCATATGCAGTCAATGGCAGGAGGTCAATACACTGATTACTAACACTCAGTGATATACAGTATATACACACACACACACACACACACACACACGAAACTCAAAAAAAAAATTAGAATACCGTGCAAAAGTTCATTTATTTCAGTAATGCAACTTAAAAGGTGAAACTAATATATGAGATAGACTCATTACATGCAAAGCAAGATAGTTCAAGCTGTGATTTGTCATAATTGTCATGATTATGGCTTACAGCTCATGAAAACCCCAAATCCACAATCTCAGAAAATTAGAATATTGTGAAAAGGTGCAATATTCTAGGCTCAAAGTGTCCCACTCTAATCAGCTAATTAAGCCATAATACCATCAAAGGGTTCCTGAGCCTTTAAATGGTCTCTCAGTCTGGTTCAGTAGGAATCACAATCATGGGAAAGACTGCTGACCTGACAGTTGTGCAGAAAACCATCATTGACATCCTCCATAAGGAGGGAAAGCCTCAAAAGGTAATTGCAAAAGAAGTTGGATGTTCCCAAAGTGCTATATCAAAGCACATTAATACAAAGTTATGTGGAAGGGAAAAGTGTGGAAGAAAAAGGTGCACAAGCAGCAGGGATGACCGCAGCCTGGAGAGGATTGTCAGGAAAAGGCCATTAAAAAGTGTTGGGGACTTTCACAAGGAGTGGACTGAGGCTGGAGTCAGTGCATCAAGAGCCACCACACACAGACGGATCCTGGACATGGGCTTCAAATGTCATATTCCTCTTGTCAAGCCGCTCCTGAACAACAAACAATGTCAGGAGCGTCTTACCTGGGCTAAAGAAAAACAGACCTGGTCTGTTGCTCAGTGGTCCAAAGTCCTCTTTTCTGATGAGAGCAACTTTTGCATCTCATTTGGAAACCAAGGACCCGGAGTATGGAGGAAGAATGGGGAGGCACACACTGCAAGATGCTTGAAGTCCAGTGTGAAGTTTCCACAGTCTGTGTTTATTTGGGGAGCCATGTCATCTGCTGGTGTTGGTCCACTGCACTTCATTAAGTCCAGGGTCAACGCAGCCATCTACCAGGAGATTTTGGAGCACTTCATGCTTCCTTCCGCAGACGAGCTTTATGGGGATGCTGACTTCATTTTCCAGCAGGACTTGGCACCTGCCCACACTGCCAAAAGCACCAAAACATGGTTCAATGACCGTGGGATTACTGTGCTTGATTGGCCAGCAAACTCGTCTGACCTAAACCCTATAGAGAATCTATGGGGCATTGCCAAGAAAAAGATGAGAGACATGAGACCGAACAATGCAGAAGAGCTGAAGGCCGCTATTGAAGCATCCTGGTCTTCCATAACACATCAGCAGTGCCACAGGCTGATAGCTTCCATGCCACGCCGCATTGAGGCAGTAATTGCTGCAAAAGGAGCCCAAACCAAGTACTGAGTACATATGCATGCTTATACTTTTCAGAGGTCCGATATTGTTCTATGTACAATCCTTGTTTTATTGATTGCATGTAATATTCTAATTTTCTGAGATTGTGGATTTGGGGTTTTCATGAGCTGTAAGCCATAATCATCACAATTATGATAAATCACGGCTTGAACTATCTTGCTTTGCATGTAATGAGTCTATCTCATATATTAGTTTCACCTTTTAGGTTGCACTGAAATAAATGAACTTTTGCACGATATTCTAATTTTTCAAGTTTCACCTGTATATATACACTATATTGCCAAAAGTATTGGGAAGCCTGCCGTTATACACACAGCTTCAACTCTTTTGGGAAGGCTGCCCACAAGGTTTAGAAGTGTGTCTATAGGATAGTTTGACCATTCTTGCAGAAGCGCATTTGTGAGGTCAGGCACTGATGTTGAACGAGAAGGTCTGGCTTGTTGTAAATATTTGTGCCCTGAAAAAAGGTTCAGTGCGGGTAGGACTTTATTGATAAAGAATTTTTGATATTTCTCATTTCTGACATATTGATTATCTTTTGAAATAAGTGAAGGCTGTAACTTATATCTCTTTGCAGAACTGGCACTTGTGGGCCTCAGTGGTCACTTGTTACACAGCTTTTGTCCACAATTACTGTTTATTCTATGTAATGGATGCCAATTTGAGATGCCATTTGTTTGTATAT